TATATATAGTGGGTGCAAACACCCCATCTGGAAAGAAATGGTGTAAAATGGCTTTCCAAATAAATAGCCCTCTCTGTATGACATCTCTATGGAAATCCATAACTTAATTTTCTTGAGCTGTGGGGCATTTTACAATCCTTGTGAAGTCTGAAGTAATTAAAACTACTTTTTTTTTGGAAAGTTGTCTTAAGAGCAGACAAATAAGCTACTGGTAAACAGAAAACAGCATTTATCCTATTAATTGTAATAAATATTTTTTCCCCACATTCTGCTTGTGACAGATCTGCCCAAATCTTTAATCACAGACAGAATAGAGCAGCAATCCCAAACACCCACAGGCACATATACATGAAAACAACAAATTTGGACTGCTAGTGGCATCCTCTTACCAAAACTAAATAAAACACATTTACATTTTCCTAACGGTTCATTTCATTTTATTGAGATAGAACAACATAGTAAAAACATCATATACAGATCCCTGTACAGCACATACTCGTGTACACTAAACTGTTTAATCATACTAAACCAATGAAATGATGGCAGAGTTCATTCAAAGCCATAAAAAAAGGCATAACATGTCCACAGCTGATATTTCAAACCAATGTTTGCTTCTGCTTCGTATGCATATGTTCCCACACACATGCACTTGTTTTTAGTGAGGCATAGAATCAATTTCACTGACATAAACAGTTTATGATCAGCTGATTTAGAGATTTCATTAAAGACCTTTAATGAAAGTGCTGTGGAGAAATATTAGCTTTAAAAAAGATTTAAACTCATTAAATCACAAATGGCACATTGATAGAAATTATACTTGAAAGGGTAAGAAAAAAATTTTCTGGGTGATAATCGTACATAAACAGCTTAATTAAAAAAAACTTCAAATATGATAAACATATGAGCAAAAGAAATACACAAATGTAACAGAACAGTCATGCCACTTATAAAAAAAAATGTAGACTATCCAAACTGCCTTACTTTCATATATACTTGAATGTTACATCCAACAATATAACTCCAAATTTCAGTGTTCAGCTGTGGCTTCTGTGTTTAACTCTCCTAAGATAAAAGAGAGAAAAAATGAGATCGAATGGAGTTTGGTGTCCTTGATAGAAGTTAAATAATAAATGAATATGAATGAAAGTCATTTTGAAAAAATCCAAACCACTTTTCCTTCATATACACTTTCAAGAAAACCTGTAGCCAGTCTGCAGATATTTTATTTTGCTTGTGGCTGTTAGTGTTTCGTTAAAACTATGAAGCAGTGTCATACTAGAACTTGTAAAGCATTATGAAGGTCTTGCGAGCTTCCTGGTTTAGGAATTGCATGCAAGTCAGCATCTGGATCCGAATATTAGTGGGTTCTTGCTCGCAGCCTGCAACGAAAACCTGCTTTGCAACTTTAACCAACGCAGAGGTGACAATTTAAAGGAAAACCCCAAAGACTTGAGCCTTCATCATGAACAGAAGAATACAAGTCTTGTTGAAACAAAGCCGAGGTGCATTAAGGCTGTTCTGGCAGCAAGTGTTTCCTTTAATTTGTCACCCGTCTGTGTGTTTGATATTGCAAGGTTAAACAAGCCATGTGTGCTAGTAAAAAGCTTAGAAAAAGGGGCTCCAGCTCAGCGTGCTTATGGAAATAAGAGTCTGACAGGTGTTTGATGAGAGCCACACCGTCTCCATTAGGCTAAAATGAAGCATGCCAAGCGCAAAGCCGCACACCATATCTGTTAGGTGGTGCTTGCCCAAGAGCACCCGGGACATGCCCACTAGGAAGGCCCACAGCACCAACAGGATGCGAAGCGGCACAGCCAGCACCAAGTGGGACAGCAAGAACTTGGACACCATGGCAGCTCGGCTGGCGTGGGCAGCGGGGAAAGAGTACACGTCCATGGCGATGCAGTCCAGGAAGCTCGGTGTCATCTCCCAGGGTCCTCTCCGTTTTACCAATCTCTGGACTCCAGCCACGGTCATCACGTCAAGGATGAGGGCTATCATGAAATAAAGAAAGCAGACAGTTAGTATGAATATGCAGTGAAAGTCAAAGAAAATAGTTAAAGGAGTACCTGACTTGCATCACGGTACAAGTAAAAGATTATCGTTTGAAACCATATTCAGAGAAGTATAGAGGTGTTACTGGTGATATGTACATTGATTTTAAAGTAAAAGTGATTATTTTGCGGAAAAACAACCACTGTGAGTGGTTTTACTTTGTCTCCCCTAACTGGACATCTCTAAGGTGTGAGATGATTAATGGGGATGGATGTAGCTTTAAAAATCTTCAAATAAAAGTAAAATCAAATGGACATCAACTCAATAATCAGTTTTATAAAACTATTGGTCCATTTGGTAGTCTTCACATAAAACAGAACTACTGCAGTAAATGTGTAAGTAGATATTTCGGTGACTAGTACTAACCAACGAGTAACATTTGCTTCACATACCAGACATTCGGAGATGCCTTTTATAACTCCACAGCACTCCCCAAAAATATTTCTACTCTGACCATCAATAAAGCCATTTAAAGCCATCTTCACACTCACTAAACCAAGCCTACGCTAAATAACTGTCAAGTGTCTGAGGTACTAGTTATACTGCTCTAATACTTGCTATCCTAAAGGGGCCGTTCTCTCAAAATCAATCTCAGCTCATTAAAGGCAATACAATGTGTCCATGCATATAAAATCAACTAAATCTGAAAAAGTTCTCTCAGAATCAGCCGAATTGTTCTGCACAGTGAATTTAGTCTGTTTAGATTTTACACTCATGCAGTGAATTTTTTCCCAGTTACAAGCCCTACAGGGTCTCACACGGTCTATTTGCAGTTTGTGGCTTCATTGCTTTTTGGGCTTGTTACAGATGTGTTTTGGCGTAAAATAACAGGTCTCTTTTACTGAATTTTCTAAACTTTAGATGGGGGAATTCCAGTTGCTAGGACCTCGTCTGCTGGCTCATCCACTGACTAAAGATGTTTGATCAGTGTGATGATTCCCAGCTCTTACACAGAACACCAACAATGAGTGTTAAAATATGACAGAAAATCATTTGACAGACCGAAGATGAGCCTGGAATCAAAACGCAGATAAAAAAAAGAGGAGACCTTTCATAAGCAGCCGCACTAAAACATCCACAGTACCAATGCTTGATTCTATGTCACAGACATCAAATTGGTGTCATCATTTTGTTAATGAAGCAATAATATATCCCACAATACTGACGCTTAGTGTTGGTTATAGAGAAAAAAAAAAAGTACCTCAAAGGCCTACAACTTGGAAATATCACCAATTGGGAGATAAAATTTTGTTATAGTTCAAATAAAATGAGGCATAAGATGCCAACTGATATTGGGTAGAGGTGCAATGGAAGGACATTTGGGGTCTTTGCTGCACGGCCCCATTGTGCCATCTCAGCAGACGGGGACGGTGCTTGCAGCCAAACAGTGACGCATCGTATCGGCTGTAAGCACAAGTCTCTTTGCGACTGAGGTTCTCTAAGGTTTGCTGTCACTGCAGACAAACTAAGATTTTTTTCTGTGCTCCTGCCGTGAAAGATTGTCTGCAAACCTGCGGTCAGCATTGTGGTTCGTTTTCAGAAGTACGTCATCTAAGATTTGAGGTGATAAACTTAGATTTGCCGTTTGATGGTGGAAACTCCGATTCTAGGAAATGTAGCAGGCGTGAGCAGACAGTAGGTCAGGCTGCTACGCGCTGCTGAGAAACAGAAGGAGTAGTCAGTCTGTCGCGTATTCTAACATACACACTGTGGTTAGTCAGCTCACATGCACTTATAGTCCTGCTCTATATACTCTACATAGATGTAAAACACAGTAATGACCACAGCAAGCCATGTTTCTATGTTTGCTATTGTTCACATTTACTTTTCAACAAGGGAGGTTACATGTATTTATATAAGGTTTTTTGTATTGGAGGGGGCGGCATGGAGGCACAATGTTTTTTGTGCTATTTTTGCCATTATTGGAAGGTACAATGGGAGAAAGACACGAAATACAAGAACAAAGGAGCAGGAGGGTGACATATAGTGAAAGTTGAGCTGGTAATCAAACTAAGAGCTTTGGGGAATCCACCTAAACAGCTAAAAGTGGAAAGACTGTTGAAATTTCCGTTGTGAAAACCAGCGATATCTCATACTCATCTCAAACAGACATCCCCTGCGCTGCAACACTGAGATACTTCACAAATGCTTTGTCTATATGTGTTTAACATCAAAAAACACCACTCATTTATTGCTTCTCAAAAGATAAAAAGAAGGGAAGGAGGGCTACACAGGTAAGCCCCTTGAAACATAAAGCTAAATACTGAGCTATCTGTTCCATCAAGCATGATGAAAAATTAATTAGAGACAACAGCTGGGTGAGCATGACCTAATCCTGTCTGTTTGTTACTGTCACCCTGCACACAGGCCTCCGCCTCGGCACAGAGAGATGGTTATTCAGAGCACACCGGACTCTCTCTCATTCATCCTTGTAATAGCGGTGAAATGGATACTTACAATAATGTTGCAATCTTACCTGCATGCTTTACAGAACCATATAGATGATAATGTAACATGAAATAAACTTGAGTACTTTAAAAGGAGAAACAAAGCCACACACACACAAACCACACCTGATAAAAATAGGAACATCCCCTCCACAGCTAAGACACGCTTTTTGGCGTGTCTGACATGTTTAATAGTCTTTGGGAAGGTCCCAGGTTGCGTGCGAGTAAAACAACTTAAAACCTAAAGGAGAAACATTTCTACGCTGCACAGTACCGCGTGTTTGCAACAGTGGGCTGAATCAAACTAATCCCGACAGACCAGTCATGGCTGATTAGTTTCCCCGATAGATAAAAACAAAATATACTTTCAGCGAGTATTTAACATTAATTCTTCTGCCCACTGTTGACCATGTTGGGATATTTTCTCCCGGCAGACTTCAACAGACCAGAAATTATCCTGCAACCAACATATATTGAGCAAAAAAAAAAAAAAAGTCCCAAACACAATTCAACAGTGTCCCAAATCCAGAGATTTAATAGCTCCCACTCAGAGCTCAATGCAGCTACAGCTACACAAGATTTGTGTTTCTGTTTGGTCTTTAATCTGTGTTTGGGACTGTGTTTATGTGTGCATGCCTGCACACGAACAAGCATACACACAGGTCCCCCAGACTTTCAGAAAATTCTGATCTGATGTAGTGAGTTCTAAATTTTGCTGCAGGATAATATTAAATGTGCTGTAGTAAAGCTTTATGTAGTTACTGATGGAAACAATAACCCAGTACTGAGTCAGTAACAGGACTTGTAAGAGCAACGGGTGAACCCATTCTTAGGAATCTGGGCCTTTGTATTGTTTGCACATACTGTTCCACTGTACCATGGCAACCCTGATTGGAAACATTGATAAACTGCTCATGAACACAAATAAAAACTTCAAAAGAGTATATTTGAAGGGTCTCGAATTGAAAAAAACTTAATGTGAAGGACTCACTGTTGTCCAGCTTCATAGATGTGACGCATGGTCAAACTAAAAAAGTCTGCTTCACTCAATGCAGCCAGCCACTGCGCTGTGGGACACTGTCACCGGTCCTCAGCCCTCCTCCTGCTCGACACCTACCCATCAGTCGTCCCGGGCTGAAGTGATGGTCCATAGCTGCCTGAGGGATCAGAGTGGTGCTGTTTCTCCACCCAGCCTGAACCTCTCCAGCTGCTACACAGCAATGCCTGATGACAACTTACTCCATGTGGACGGCCAAGCGGGTGTGGACCCAGAAACAATGCCTGCTAACACTGCAGCTTTTCCACCACTGGTGGCTGATGACACCAGAGCGGCCGGCCACCCCACCATGAAGCCAAATAAACGGACCTCATCCCAGCGTAGGATGCTACAGTTACAGCATTCTCCTTTCCGGGCACAAAGTAAGGACTATGCACTTCTATTGCGTAAGAACACACAGCCTTAATCTGTCCTGCCAAAAACTGATTTTCCCCTATTTGGGGAAAAAAAAAGAAAAGAAAAGAAAAGGAAAGAAAAGTATTTAAATTGTTGTAAATGACTTGTTGGTATATAATCTGTCTAACATATAAAGTTATTTTGGGTCACAGAGCAAATTCCTGTCACAAGACAGAAGCTGCAATCAGTTTTTGGCAAAGTGACTTTTTTCTATCCTGCATTTATCCGGGTTAAAAGTTTCACTGGCGTTAGAAATGTCCCTTTCAAGAGTGAGCCGGCCAAGAGGGCAACAGAAATGGCAACAAATATAAGATAATAGTTCCATAAAGATTTTCTAATTAGCCAAAAAGGACTGGATAGATTATAATGTCATGTCAGAATCATAAAGACGCTTTCAAAACAGGCAGTTTTTTAATTTTATATATAACCTCTTTCTTAATCTTGTTCACTACAGCCTATTTGCCATTATAAACAACAATATTACACATGAAAAACACAGAAACAGCAGAAATCACTTTTTGGCACGACAGCAGCTAGTCTGGTAATGATTAGTTGTGTTTTATTTAGCAGCTCCCCTTTCAGGCCTCACCAACTGAGTACGCCGGATTGCCCTCCTGTGTTCATAACGCTGTCACCAGCTCCTCTAATGCCTTATGTTCAGTCGTACTCAATGCCCATTATCCGTTTTAAAAAACCAAGATCACAATTTAAAACAAAAAGACCCAGTTATAGTATTTCACCAACCTCATATTTCACTGATGCTGCCGTTTTTTTAACCAATCCCTGTAATTATAAAGGCACAGAAGCAAACCGTCTCATTTTCATCAAATTTCTACTTCCGGACTTAATCATCTAATTCCTTTGCCCTCTAAATCACAGCCCTCAAAGCCTCTAAGTTCAGCAGTTACTGCCCTTCTTAACTGCAGATCTTTAATCTTCTGCCCATTATCTGTGACCTTCTGTTCTGCTAACATGTGTGTATGTAGGAATGAATGAAAGCCTGTGGGCTTGACTCTGTGTTTGCATGTGTAACCATTTAGACTTTTTTTTTAAGTGTTTTTATCCAAATTGTGAAGCACTTTGTAACTGTTTGTTTAAAAAAGTGCTATACATATAAAGTTGTTATTGTTATGTATGACTGCTGATTTTGCCTTTGGGGGCATGGGTCAATTTGTCCAGGCTTTCAGTACAACAAGAACTTCCTGTCTACTTCCTGTTCCAACGAATGCAGACAGATCAAAGAAAGGAAGTTTCCAGGTTGAGTTTCAGCAGATGAAGTCTCTCTTTTGCTCTTGCCACATACAGTTTATCTCTATATGCAATCAGAGGCACCTCAGACGTGGTTGGTCAGTTGATTAGTCTACTCGAACTACAAACAGACTACAAATAGAAACCAGAAAACCTGTGGTGGAAAGAATCTTGCCCACAGATTTCAGATTCATATGTTTTAATAAAGACGGTTCAGAAGGTTCTGAGTAATCGCTGAGTAATGCAATTTGACAGAAACGTACTGCAAAAGACAACTTTTGCTTGAATGATTGAATGATTGACTGCTTTGACTGCAGAAGTATTAGATTGTGCTGTGTTACCAGTTTGATTCGAATATACTGTTAAGTTAAATCCAAACTGGAAAACTGAAGATTTACTAGATGAGAAATAAAGGTTAAAAGATAAAGGTTACATTGCCTGCATAGGAACCTCAATACGCAGTTGTGACTTCACTAAAAAAAAAAAAAACTGAGACTAGGTGATATTTTGTCTTTTTCTTTCTGAATTTGCAGGTTTTCCTCTCTGTTGCTTTTTGACAACTGGGAAAAGGTATCAAATGTTGAGATTCTCCTTGCTCTACTATAAAAGCAGCAGTTCAAGTAATATTAAGCACATGAGATACGGTCTATAAACACTTGTGAAATGTGCCTTCAGAAAATGTCACCCACACTTGTTTGTCAATAAACCCCTGCACTGGGAGGCCGAATACACTAAAACTCATTTGGCAAGCTCATTTTTGGCACAGCTGGCTGGTTTCAAGTGTGAGAAGGACAGAAGCGACAAAGACACTGTGTCACTGTGGGTGCCAGGTATGGCTGCGTGGTGCATTTTGGGTACTGAACGACAGAGGTTGGTGAGTGTGGTGTGGCATTTACCCAGCAGCAGGTTGACTAGGACCTCCTGTCCAGCCAGGGTATTACTCCGTGTGAGACACACGATAGTGCCAATGATCCACGTGATGCCATGCCCCGTGAGAGCCAACAGGGCAACCATGGAGCGGCAGCCTCCCCAGGAGGACGACGTGTAGGCGCACACCCCCATGCGCTTGGACAGGCAGATGTCAATGGCAAGCAGAGAGTTCATTGCTATTCCTTTGAAGGAAGGGTTCAGCTGCATGCAGTCTTCCTCTGGCATTTTGGTGGACTCTCTTCTGTCCCTGCTGCCTCTGTCGGTAGGTTCTTCACTCTGCTGACTTGTTTGGTGCTTGATTTGACCCAGTCGCCTTGAGCTGCCTCGGCTCTCAGCGGGGCCCCCGCCGCTACAGAGGGGCTGATGGTTGAGGGACATAAACTCAGGTCTGCTCAGGACGCTGTTTCTCTCCCGCGCCCTTGATCTCACACTGGAGGGCATACTGGGGGTGGTGGGGCCAAGTTTTCTTCTGTGGCTATAATAACCGATTGCCAATCTCCAGAAGATAATGCAAGTGGTGCGAGACAGTGAAATGTCCCAGGATAAACCCCCCTCCCCTCCCCTGCCTACACCACTCCTCCCCCACCTCCTGTGGCCTTAATAGATATATTTAGACACGCTGGAATGCACGTTGTCTGTGGTGTTTATGCCATGCGGGGAGGAAGAGTGTATTGAATAGCATCTGCTCCGTCCAATCCAGAGAAACACGATCTAAAGCACGGAGATAAAAATTACAACATGAGCATTTCGTTACGCACCGATACACCACTAACAGGTGCCTCACTGCGCGTGCTTTTGGTGGAAATCAAGCTCAGTGCAAATTTAAAACAAAAGAAGAAAGAAAAACACTGTGTAAAGAGACTACGAAAGACACGGCGTTGTCATCTTACCGAGCGAAGAAGGGAGAGCACGGGAGCGCGCACATCTCTCTAAATCCTCTCCGATATACAGAGAGGACGTTCACGTATATAAAGCGATCCGCGCAAAATCAGAGGAAAGTTGACAATCACCAAACCGTCGACAAGAAAAGGGAAAAGACAAGGCAGCGCAGCGCAGGCAGTGCAGCGTTTGCTTGTTCCTGGCGGATTTGACGTAGCTTACGCACGATTCCCGATTCAGCCTCAGCGCTGCGCTCCAGCGCGGACAGCGGAGTTCTCCAAGGTGCTTAAACAGACAGCGCCAGGAAGCACAGAAACCCCGCATTCGGCTTTATTACACACAAAGACAGGGGGCAGGGCTTATGGAGGGCCACGGAAACAATTTCAAATGGTCAGAAATGGTAAAAAAGAAAAGAAAAAGCGATGAGCACACAACCTACATTTTTACAGAATTTATCACACCGATCAGACCATTTGTTGTCTGCTAGTGCCACACTACAGCAAAATACATAAATAAATCAACATTTATCAATCATTTATAATGTATTTAAAGCTGACTGTGATCCACTGATTAGTCAGTGGAAAGACATTTCCAAAAACCCCACAAAGATGATTTCATTTGTCTGTGTCCAAATTTTCAATAACACCCAAAGAGAGCGGACACGCGTCCTTGGGTGTTCCTGTGGGGGCTCTTTTAGGCTCTCAAAAATCACTTACTAATTATATGTTATCAGTTATAATTATAACCTTCTCAAAATGAGGGACCTTTAGCCTCCATTTCCCAGCATGCTTGCAACACTCGCAGAGCGGAAGTGTCGTCAGGAAGACTACTAAAAGCTGCTTCCCAGGCAGCTCAGATAGACCAATGCGTGTCGGGGTGAACCTGCTGAGGCAGAGATGGGACGAGCGCGGAGAAATGACAGCTTGTGCAGGAATTTAGGCTGAACTGCATCCCATCTCTCGGAGCACTGCAGCTGTCCGCTCGGTCGAACTATGTAACAGTTGGAATTTCTCCTATCAGAGCTGCATTATACATATTTTGTATCTATATATTATTATTTTTTTATTCAGTTTGACACCTGATCCCGTGGAATGGTCGCAAAAGTTGACCCGGCGCCGTCCTTTTGGATGTTGCGGTGCTCAGTCTCAAACTCGACCAGACTGTCAGCGCTCGGAGAAATGCTACCTCTGTTAACGGGACGCTGAAATTGTTTGCAGTTGGAAGGAAAAGGGAGAGAAGGGGACGAAGAAATAAATAACGGGATCGGTTGTGGAAGGAGATAACGGAATTACCTCTGTGACCGGAGAACTGTGCGAGCCGCCGTTTACGCTGAATTTCTCCAGGATTTCGCCCCAAACAATTCACTGGAGACTTTCCAGTGAATTGTTTTATAGGTAGACTTTTTTTTTCTTCTTTTTTTTTTTTTTGCATGTTGCTTTGTCGGCTTTAAAAACGGGAAAGAAAAAACAGACCTCAGTTCGTAATTGCACTGCGAGAACCTCTGTTCCGCAGATGTAGCGTTCAACGGTACACTTTTCCTTATGAGAAACTGAAGCCAATATTTTAAGTTTGGTAGAACATTTTACGCTTTTGTTAAACGGACTTTCGGCTGCTCCGCGTTACACTAGAGGCATTTTAAACTGTGGGCGTCCACTCTTGAAAACCTCCAATATTTGTGATTAGGATTCTCGTCACCAGCTGGACGCAGTCACAGGGATATATCTTTTGAGTGCACACGCAAAGGAGAATCTGATGCCAAGCTGTAACACAAGTAGTTTTTTTTTTTTTTTGCGTGTGTTAATTATTTAGCTCATATATGCCACGAACCTTTCCAAATGGACCCACTTTGCCCAAAGGCCAGAACTTTGTGTGGCAGTGTCTTGTAACTTTGACAGCATGAAAACATCTGCGCTCGGATAAGAACATTTCTGGTGCCAGAGCCGGTTTTGGTGAAGCTGCCGTTCAAGCACCGGGAAGCATGCGCTCTGTTGCGAAGATTTTCTAGGCCTGCTTTCTTTTGTAGTTTTGGATAAAAGAAAAAGAATGCATGGCTTTTCGTGAGAAACATTGCTTCATATAAATACTTTGTGCTGATAAACCATTTTTTCTTCTCTCTGTTGGGGAAACATGATGTGGAGCCAACTGTGGTGACTGTTTTGCTTGTTTCCATGCGTCTTTCCTCTCCTCCAGACTGCTGGACGTTCTTGTGGACTGTGTTGCTATTTAATGCAATGGGCTGCATCCAGAGTATCAGATGTAAGCCCAAGAGTTTCCGAGACAGCATCGTCATCCTGGAGCTGAACGCTACCATCGACTCCAACCCCACCAGCATCGACGAGACATCCGGCGTGGTCTTGCGCTACCGGACGCCGCACTTTCGAGCGAACGCCCGAATACTGGTGCCACCAGTAGCAGCTAAGGAGACATGGACCATCGGCTGGATCCAAGCCTGCAACCACATGGAGTTCTTTAACACGTATGGGGACAAAGGAATGTGAGTATCCTTGGTCTTGTTGTTGCTTGGTCAGGTGTAAGGAATGACAGCGCATTGAACACACGAGGATGAGATTCAAATATGAAAAAAACAAAAATCACCTTTGACATCATTCCAGCTGATGAATAAATATGCCATTTGAGTTAGTTTGCAAGTGGCATTTTTGCTATTGACACTTTTGGTCAATATCGGCTCTTCTACTTTTAATTAAATGAATTTTATTCCAGTTAGCCAACTGTGAGCTTGGTTTCCAAAAAACTATTCAGATTATTTTGCCATTCTATTAGATTTAATCCACGACAAACCACAAAGAAAGTATCTAATGCTCACAAATGTTAGGGAACTAAATGTGGTTTCTAATGTACGAAATGACCCCAACACAGGGAAAAAAATAACAGCTTCACACTTGTCTTATTTTTGTCTGAGCAAAAGCTCAGAACTTGAAACTATTTAGCTTACAGATGTGACAAAGAGAAGTTAAAATTTAAGAGGCTTAAAGCTGACACTGTTATAACACAACTTTTTGGGAGTGCTTACATCTTGAAAATGTGAAGAGTCCAAGTAGGAAGACTTTAATTGGATCAAAAAATCTGCCAGGAACAGTTACTGAAAGGACGTCTAGGTAAAAGGTTTAACCAGTTTAACATAAGCAAATGAGCTTGAGTTCTTTAAGTACGGGCAAAGACGAGTAGCAGAAAGAGTCAGTGCCAGCCACCCAACAGAGCCAGAACCTTAGTTCCTGTGTAATTTATGGTTTAAATTGTAAGAATATCTCAGTTTCTGTTTTATATTGCAAATAATGCTAAAATTACTCCTTAGAGAAAATATTTCACAGTAGTGAAACTAGCCTACGGTTGCATGTGGTTCTCCCAGTTCAGCAAGGGCACAAGTGTGCGTCCTGCAAGCAGAACGTCACATATTAGCATCAGTTTTAAAGAATTTAAAAGATAACTGTGAGTGTGTTTTAATAATCGATAGCTCGACTGTCCCCACAACACATGGGCTTTAAGCATATGCTTGCAGGCTGCAAACGCCTTCAAGAGCTTACACATGTATGTGTGGGACACTGTGATGAGAAATAATAGTTGCTGTAACCTTTCTGATGCCCCCTCCTTGGAGTGGAGTTATTTTTCCATCAGTTGTTATTAATAAAGCAAACATGAACAAATGCTGTTTTTAACTGTGCTCATCTCACCCAGGGACTATAAAAAGGTCTCGCTCGCTCTTTAATTTCCTTTATTTCTCAGAACGAGTGTTTACATACGCAGGGTTTGTCTTGTATCATGTGATAGGCAAACGCAAGTCGATCCGTGTGCTTTATCTGTTGACACTGCAGCAGAGGATGTTTGGGTGCTGCACGACTAAGATTAGAGTCTCCTCCCGGACACCCCACACCCCAGTATGGGCCTGTATGACACAGAGAGAGGGACAGAGCCCAATTACTTTCTGAAACTCAGTCTCACTGGGTCTTATTGGCCCTTTTATCTGGCTAGATTTTACACTTTCCATCTTTTGTCAAGATCTTTTTTTTAGATAATGGTATACAAATACATGCTGAGAAGAAAACCCACATTCAAAACCATGCATGCATTTAAAAATGCTGAACTTGAAAAAGACGTTTTTCGCAATATACCAGTAATGAGAATGGCTGCGGTAGTTTGAAACATAGATGAAATGCAAATACATGTATGATCATTTAAACTAGCACCTGTAACTATCTGGTTACGCAGCATATACGTGGTGGTATTGTACCCCTGCGTTTGTCACCTCCCACCATAAAAAGACAAAAACATAGTCACTATAAGCTCGCTGTCACCAACACCAAAAACAAAATAAATGACGCTGATGGCATTATGCTTTTCTCAAATTTTCCATAGCTGTTGAGATATTATAATTTTGGTAAATTTTGTTTTTGACATTACTGGTAATGAATGTCTGATATCATGACTATATATAATTCCACTTACCACATTTTTTAGTCTTCTCAGAAACCACGTAAGTGTACACTCACAACCATTTCATTAGTTCTACTATGCTAGTACCAGCTTGGACGCATTTTGCCTTCAGGATTGGATTGAATTCCAATTCTGACCCTCCCACCCAAATGTTGCAAAGAAATCGAGGCTCATCAGTTCAGGCAATGTTTCTCCAATCTTCTATCGTCCAGTTTTGGTGAGCCTCAGTTAGAAGTTAACAGGAATGGCACCTGGTGTGGTCTTGGCTGCTGTAACCCATTGCTGTCCATGTTCAACCTGTTGTGCATTAAGAAATGCTCTTCTGCAAACCATGATTGTATCAAGTGGTTATCTCAGTTACTATGGCCTTCCTATCAGCTCAAAGCAGTCTGGCTATTCTTCCAAACTCTGGAATCAAAGAGACAAGTTCACTCACTGCTTTTTCCTTTTTTTCTCAGACCATTATCAATAAATCCTCAGACCAGCCCATCTGGCACCAACAACCATGCCATGTTTAAAGTCTTCAAAGTGTCTTAAATCACTTTTCTTCCTCTTTCTGATGCCCACTTTGAACTTTAGCAGATTGTGTTGACCATGTCTACGCACCTAAAACACAGAGTTGGTTCTGTGTGGTTAACTGTTAGATATTTGCGTTAATGATCAGTTGAACTGGTGTACCTGATGAAGTGGCCAGTGAGCGTATAGTAAATGCACTCTTGACTTGAATTACCCTACATGACTGTAACAGATATGGTATATGTATATATAGCACTGTGCTGTATATAGGGGTGTTAGAATGTGCGCACCCAGATGTACAGCAGTGTTTACAGAGGGAAAATCCTTGAATCTCATGCATTCGAACATTGACTTTAAATCATTGTCCAGTGTCAGGAACGCTAAGCATTTATTTCCTGCAAAGACAAACAATGAAAGAAAAGACTGCCTATTCCTTATGTACAT